GCGAGGCCTGGGGAAGGGGCCGATCCTGCGATTGGAGATTGATGGGGGTCAACGCCTGAGGGCTCCCAGTATGTGAGAAAGGGCAGGCTGGGCTGAGGGACACTCCTCCCCACCCCCCACCCCCAGTGCATGAATTTCATGCACCGGGCCCCTAATATATATATGATGTTGAGCAATATGATTCTGGTTTTGTGTGACAGTATATGAGATCAGAGTAACATAAGTCTTATTCCCCCTTTCCTCTACCATTAGCTTTTTTCTACTGTTCTTTTTCAACCTATACAGTCATGTGCTACATATTGAGATGTGTCATTAGGCAACTTCATCATTGTGTGAACATCATGGAGTGCACTTACACAAATCTAGATGGCATAGACTATTGCTCCTAGGCCACAAACCTATACAGCATGTTACTGTACTGAAACATACCTAAATATAAAAAAGGTAGAGTAAAAATATGGTATAAAAGATAGAAAATGGTACACCTGTCTAGGGCACTTGCCACGAATGAAGCTTGCAGGACTGCAAGCTGCTCTGGGTGAGTCAGTGAGTGAGTGGTAAAGTGAATGTGAACACCTAAGACATTACTGCATACTACTGTAGACTTTATAAAAACTGTACCATTAGGCTACACTAAATTTATAAAACAACATGAGATTCAATTAAGCACAAAATCATATGATGTGATCAATATATATCATATGAGGCTGTTGCAAGTATAACATAGCATATTGTTTTACAGGAAACTTTTTTTGTTAATCCTCACCTGAGGATATCTTTCCATTGATTTTTTAGAGACAGTGGAAGGGAAACAGAGAGAGAGAAACAGTGATGTGAGATAAACACATGGATTGATTGCCTTCACACACAACCTGACCAGGGCCAGGGATTGAGCCTGCAACCAAGGTACATGCCGTTGACTGGAGTCAAACCCAGGACACTTTAGTTCACAAGCTGACACTCTTTTCACTGAGCCAAACCAGCTAGGGCTACAGGAGATTTTTTATAAGTAGAGAGAGTACATGATAAAATAATGATAAAAATATGGTATAATAATACATAAACAAGTAATCTTCACTTATTATTATTATCAAGAATTATGTACTGTATATAATTGTACGTGCTATACTTTCATACACCTGGCAGAGCAGTAGGCATGTTTACATCAGCATCACCTCAAACATGTGAGTAATGGGTTATACTACAACATTTAGATGGCTATGTCTCACTAGTCGATAGAAATTTTTCCCATTATAATCTTACTAGAGGCCCAGTGCACAAAAATTCATGCACAGGTAGGGTCCTTAGCAGCTGCCAGTTGCTGGCCAGGGCCTTCCTTTGTTCTGCGTCACCCCCTGGTCATCAGCACACATCACAGCAATCGGTTGAGCTCCCAGTCAGTTGAACTCCTGCCTGAGGGGACAATTTGCATATTAGGCTTTTATATATATAGATGGGACCACTGCTGTATATGCAGTCCATCATTGACTGAAGTCAATGAATGTATATGGTGTACAGTATTTAGTTCTCCCCACCTACAAAAAGAGTTAACAGACCTCCTTTTACCTTGCATCTTGTAGGTATCATTTTTTCTTTCTCCAATTTAACCAAACCTGAGTTTTTACAGCTGAGGCTTATACAATTTGGGGTACCTTCATGAAAGAAATAACAAAACTGTATGTACAAATAAGAATAAAAATAAATGTAGTTAGAATAAGAAAAGAAATCCCAGTGTATCACAAGCTTTAAAAAGCTTGCAAAGACTACCAGCATCACTAAAGCCAGAAAAATAGCATAAAATTTTTGCTACTGAAATGTGTTCATGCTTTTATTATACTTTGCCACTGATTAGCTCTGTCTCCCATCCATTTTAAACCTTGTTTCTCTCCACACCTACTGCTGGGAAGCTAATCAAACCAGTAGGGAACACAAGCCCAGAGAGGAGATGGCTTGTCATTATTTTATTTGAAAAATCTACTGGGCCAACTTCAGTGTCCTTTTTCTTTATCGTCTGAGTTAGAACTGGATGGATGATAAGCAACATTTCCTGTCCCCAAGCCCACTTCCCAATCTCCAGCTTTCACTGAATTCCTGATCAGGGGTCCAGGCCCTGTGATAAAGACTATAGTCATGGCTGCAAGCAGAAATTCCTTCCTTCCCTTACCTACCAGCCCAGGCATCTCTGCCTTCTCTAAGTTGGGTCTCACTCTGTCTCATTGGCAGGTCAATCAGCAGATCCAAAATTCGTGCTCTCTGGCAGCAATGTGAGTCTTCAAAGCTCCAATTTGCCTGAGAACTACAAACGTCTTGATTGGTTTTACTCTCCCGACCTGAAAATTTTAGAATGGGAGACCCACCAGCCTAATCCTCACTACTTCGATACCAAGTTTAAGCGCAGGGTCAAACTTGGTGAAAATGGTACACTTCACATCTGTAATGTCCAGAAAGAAGACAGCAGCACCTACATCCTGAAGGTGTTGTTGAAGTCTGGGTTTGAAGAGGAAAGGAGAATCCCACTGAAAGTGTTTGGTGAGTTTGGGGAACCCAAGGGCAAGTCCCCATTCTGGGCCCCTGGATGGGCCAGTGGGAGGCTTCCTGGTACCATGGGGGCTCTTGGGACGAGGAGAGAAAAACCTCGGCACAGGCTTAATTTATTTCTCCTGAAGCAATGCTACTTGGGAGGGAGCCTGGGCCAGCAGAGCCCAAATTGATAGCCTTGAGACATTTAAAAACCTCTTCTGATGTTAATGAGTCTAAGATTTGAAGAGAAGAAAAACAATAGAGGTGGTTTCCTCTCTATTCTCTTTATGTTCTCCTGAGATCAGTTCTGAGCTCATCTTTTTTTTTTTAAATTTAGTTTTATTGCTTAAAGTATTACAAAGAGTCTTACCTATGTCTCCTTTTTTTCCCCCGCCCTTGATAATCTCCTGGCCTCCCCTACCCCCCAGTGTCTTATGTCCATTGGTTATGCTTATATGCATCCATGCAAGTCCTTCCGTTGATCTCTTACTCCCCCGCCTCGCCCCCCCGCAACTCCCGCTCCTCAACCCTCCCCGGCTTTCCCCTGGTAGTTTGACAGTCTGTTTGTGGCAGCTCTGCCTCTGTATCTATTTTTGTTCATAAGTTTATAATGGTCTTTATTATCCATAAATGAGATGTGGCTTCACCAGTCTGCATTCCCACCAGCAGTGCACGAGTGTTCCCTTTTCTCTGCATCCTCTCCAGCACTTGTCATTTGTTGATTTATTGATGATAGCCATTCTGACAGGTGTGAGATGATACCTCATTGTTGTTAATATATTTGAACAAAGACTTTATCAGACTTAAGGAAAAAGATAGAAGAGATAAAGGATGGAGCAGGATATTAAGGAGAGTTTTTAATCTTTCTGAATGTATGGGCCAACAACTTCTCCTCACAGATCCAGCTTAACCAGTATACATGGAATAAGGATTAGGACATTATACATGGAATCAGACATTCCTAGGTTAAAAACTCTGGCCACTTACTAATTATGTGACCTTGGAAAAAGATTTTAATATTGCTGTGCCCATATTAGGTAAATTTCTTTTGATGGTATTAATGTAAAAAAAAAACCATTCAAACCTGTAAAGAATTTTTGTGAGTTTATTTGAGCCAAATTGTCGACATTTGCTGGGAAGCAGAATCTCAAGGTATTGAGATAATAATCCAGAGAATGGCAGGGTTTTTTTTGAAATATATTTCTTTGAGTTTTTACAGAGAGGAAAGAAGAGAGACAGAGAGTTAGAAACATTGATGAGAGAGAAACATCGACCAGCTGCCTCCTGCACACTCCCCACTGGGGATGTGCCCACAACCAAGGTACATGCCCTTGACCGGAATCGAACCTGGGACCTTTCAGTCTGCAGACCGATGCTCTAGCCACTGAGCCAAACCGGTTTCGGCAAGGGAATGGCACTTTTTCACCTTGTTTTATACATTACAATCAAAGGAGGAGACATAAGTGGGTCACATGAAATCCATTGATGGTAGATTAGGGGGTGGGAGAAAGCACAGCGGGGAAGCCTCTGGGATTGGATAAAAAGTAAAATGATACACATGCTTCTTTTACTTAGGTGGGTGCAGGATAGTTAACAGCCAGCAATTAACTCAATGACAATGAGGGGATTTGTGATCTCCGCAGGGTGGTGCCTGGGCTTTGAGGGGTCTAGAAAAGGGAAATTACGTTGACATTCCAAGGATATGTTATCGTAGATGCAAAAGACAATAGACTCACTCAGTTATGGTAAATATTGACCTTTCTCAGAATGTGATGACCCACCATACATTGCTTTTATTTTTTTAAAATATATTTTATTGATTTTTTACAGAGAGGAAGGGAGAGAGATAGAGAGCTAGAAACATCGATGAGAGAGAGACATCGATCAGCTGCCTCCTGCACATCTCCCACTGGGGATGTGCCCGCAACCCAGGTACACGCCCTTGACCGGAATCGAACCCGGGACCCTCCAGTCCGCAGGCCGACGCTCTATCCACTGAGCCAAACCGGTTTCGGCCATACATTGCTTTTAGTTAACGTTTTAATTTCAGACCATCCTTTGTGGTTCCTTTAGGTCTTTGAGTTTGCGAAACCCCCATACAGCTAGTCAGGTTAGCATGTGGCCTTTTTTTCATACACAATGACAAGTAAGAGAAACCAATTTGATGTACCTTTAGCAAAAAAATGAGAAATTATTTAAGAAACAAGGATTATTTAAATTAATTGAAGGACTTTGGAAGATTCAAGAAGGGCGGAAGGGGACGAAGACTGAGAACCAAGGCCAGTTCAGACTCCCCAGCCGCCGGAATCTGTGGACTAGGCCTGTGGTTTCCTGCCATTTACATGACTTACCTCTCAAAGTCTAGACTTTTATCTTTCAGTTTCAATCCCAAGGGAGAAAAACTGGCTGTGCTGGGGAAGATGTAGCAGCCTCTTCTCCAAACCACCCCTTTGCCGTTGGACTTGTCTGGGGCCAGCAGCTCCCTGACCTGACAGGCCCAGGAACTCGGCGTAGCCTACTACCATGGGCTCTGTGTTAAACCAGCAGTTTCCAGAATAAGCTACACATGGAGGGCTTTTGGAGCATGGAGGAGGGTGAGGCAGTGGAGTGCATCTTTAAGAAGTCCACCAAAGGCTCTGGCCAGTGTGACTCGGCTGGTTGGAGTGTCATCCTGTACACCATATGGTGGCAGGTTCGATTCCCCATCAGGGCATGTACCTAAGTTAGGGGTCGGGTGCATATGTGAGGCAACTAGTTGATGTTCTTCTCTCACATCAATGTTTCTCTTCCTCTTCCTCTCTCTAAAAAATATATATATTTTTAAATAATAAAAAAGGATGCCCACCAACTACCTGGAATCTGAGTCACCAGCTCCGGTGGGGTGTCCTGCATTGGGAGTGAGAGGAGGCCAAGAGGGCAGAACATGCAGAAGTGCAGGTCAAAGGGACAGGTGCTCCAACTGTGGAGGTCTAGACCGTCATGCCAAGGAATGCAAGCTGCCACCCCAGGCTACAATGGGCCACTTCTGCCAGCGCATCGGCCATATGGTGACCTCCTGTCCACGGAAGGCCCAGCAGGGCCCGCCTACTTACAGGAGGAAGAGAAGGAGATCCGTAACTCTGATCTGTTCCAAGGCCCAGAACTGAGCCACAGTGTGTGTGTGTGTG